AAAAACGCCCCAAACCGCTGCTTTTGAGCAGACCTCTCCGTAGTCTCAAGCTCCCCCCCACCCCCCACGCTTCCTCAGATGCTCATCGCGTCCCTCTCCGTCCTTTGTTTGCAGCTTGCTCTTCTTCTTTTGCACGCCCGCCCAGTCTAGTGGCCCTGTGAGGAGCGGTCCGGCTGGGTGTCGGTGCCGCTGTGCTGCGTGCTTGTTCACGCCTGCAGAGACCGGGGCGCCCGCCCTCGGTGCGGTGTCCTCGGCGCTCCGCTCTCCCACCTGTCCGTGTGTTGAAGATTGCTGTGCTGTTTCAAGCCAAGTGAGGCGCACTTACTGATTTTTTTTGTTTTTTTTTTGCGTTCCTGTTAACCAGGAGCGGTAGATGGGTCAGAAGCGCAGGGTTTCGGACACAGGGTTGACGCTGTGTTGCTCGGTGGTTGGTGCTCACCTGTGTTGACACGAAGCCTGTCCACGTGCTTCGGCACTGGAAACGTCACTATCTTCCCCGTGTTTCAGCCCTGCTGGCCGGCTGCCGCTTAACTGGTTCCCTGGCAGTGCTGGTGTCTCAACGGAAGCTGTGACCTGCCCTGGGGAGTTTGCAGTTTTATTTATAAAAAGACAATTTAAGATCCCCCTAACGTGGGGTGTTTTTTTTTTTTTTTTTTTGGTTTTCTTCTGGTACCGGGAATCAAACTCATGACCTCGCGCTTGCCAGGCAGGCGCTGTGCTGCTGAGCTAAATCCCCAGCCCCCTAACGTGGGTTTTTGTTGAGGTAAATCCCAAGGCCCCGTCTGCGGGGTACGGGGGTCCTAGGTCACCCTTCGATGGTGCGCGATCCCGGCCAGGCTTCCAGAGGTCCACCCTCTGCCTCGTTCGGCTCCTGTCTTCCCTCAGTTTCTTCCCACGGTGGCTCTGTGCCTCAGAACTCCCCTCTGCCTATGCCCTCGGTAGTAGGGAGTCCTGTAAGGAAGGCCGGCGCGGCAGCGCCCTGCCACCGGGCCCAGAGCAGTGCCAGTCACAGGCCGGGCCGGGCAGTGGCGGCCTCTGTTGGACGTTTTCTCTGTGCTGGATTCGCAGCGGGGACCCTGTCTTACTCCTTGGAGTGCTCGCTGCAGCTCTGTGGGAGGTAGATGACCGCAGGGCGCCCTTCACAGAGGCAGGAGCACGTTCGTACGTAACGTGGTTAAAGTCATCCCATGCCTACGTTTCTTCAGTGATCTGTTTTCATCTCACTTGGCCCCAAATCATCCAGAGACCAAAAAAAAAAAAAAGTCTGAAAAATAAGTAGTGTCATCCCTCGGTGTGTGCAGGAGATTGGTGCCGGGACCCCTGTCCTGCCCAAACCCAAGGATGACCCCGTCCTTTCACATACGGAACATGTGTGTCTGCTGTGTGCTTTACCTCGCCGCTGCACGGCTCGAGAGACCCGGTCAGTGTAACTGCTGTGTACACAGTGTTAGACCGCACTGTGGAGGGCGGTGGTGGCGAGCCTTTGGTACCCGTGCCACAGCGGGCTGTTCGCATCACTGCAAGCTCTAAAAGGTTCGCCATCGCTGGTTTAGAGTGTAATAATGAAAGGCGCATGGTCGGGACAGATACAGGAATTTTTTTTAGTAATCATGTCCAGGCGTGAGGGTCCCTGGCCCTCTCTAAAAGTTGGCTGTCTTCATTATACTGCCATTCTTTTCTGGTTTAAATGCTTCAAGTTATGTCATCTAGTTTAGCAGTCTGCTTGGTGTAGAGTCACATTTCAGAGTTTCCAAACTTCAGTGCATTTCCACATCCGGAGATTTTTAAGTCCTTACGGAAACTGCAGAGTGGACACTTACGTAGCCTTTCCTCGCGCTTCGCTCCCGCCGTGCGTCCCTCCCGCCTGTGTGCTCACTGGCTCGGGTCAGCGCGCTGCAGAGCGTGCGTGCAGAGAATTGGACTTCGGTAAGATTAACGTAACAAGAAAGAAAGTTTTCTTGCACCACCTAAGACTTTGGGGTAATTGCTAGTTGATATTTGTTACTCGTATTTTTAGAGTATCAGCTTTGTATAGTTAGTGGCGCCGTCAGATGTTTAGCACAGAGAAAAAGTGAAAAAACACTAGCTTACTCATTTTTATAAAGGTTATTGTTTTATAGGACTTCTGTGGAAAGATATAAATTGATTGCATACCAAATACAACTGGCTAGGTGTGATCATAGTAGCAGCATTAAACATTGTGAATATTTAGCATTAGAAAAATAAGAATTTTTATTTTAACTGCACAGATTTTTAATGTATATACATTTTTTGTTACAAGTCATTTAAAAATTTTTCTTTCTGAAGGAAGCTGGTGTAGCCAAGCATATATTATAGATAAAAATTGGGGAATGTCCATTCTTATGTAATGGACGTCGGTAGGAAGGTGCGATTTACTTCACAGTTAATCTAGAACGCAACTGGTTGATGAGAAAGGGAGCGGCAGAGAGGAGGAGAACTGCAGTTGCCACCGTTCGCAGTGGTGCTCGGGAGCTGGCACAGGTAACCAAAACCAGCAGGTTCAGGGCGGACAAAGAGGGTGGAAGTTAAACATCAACTCCACGAACCGCGGATAGCCCGGGCCGGCACTGCGGGGACTGGGCTTGGAAATTGTTTTTACTGCTGTTCAAAGCCCTCGTGCTGCTCGGGAGATGGCAAGGTCAAGGTCCGCCTGAGAAATTTGGCAAGACCCGGTATTTAAAAAAAGAAAGAATATTTGTGCCCAGCTGTCATCGCTTGTCTTGTCCCTTCTGGGGTGGATGTGGCCCTCTGGATTCCGGGGTCCAGGCGGAGACCTGACTGCCAGCAGGCGGCCTGGCGGGAGGTCAGCTCACCGTGCATTGAGCAGGCAGTGGGCAGGGCCCAGGCACAGTGCGCTGGCCCTCAGGTCACTCTCTTCTGCATTCGTGTGTTTCTATTTTAGCAGATTTTTCCGTCTGCTGCACTGTTTCCGTGGGTGGATCTGCGGTAAAGTGCACTGCACATGTAAAACATCACACTGCACATGACCTTTGCGTTCCTGCCTTCATTGTCCTCTGAGTTTTAGTATTTTTTATTAGCAGATTTTAATTCTCTTAGCATGGAACCTACATTGTTTTGGGTATTTTGCATGGAAGCAGCAGTTGAGAGTTGACAGATGTGATGATAAAGGCGTGTGTGTGTGTGTGTGTGTGTGTGTGTGTGTGTGTGTGTGTCTCCATCCCTCTAAGCCTTGTGGGGGCTGTCAAGCTTCTGGAGTTGCTTTTTGGCTCCATGGATGTTTATGCTGTTGTGTGTATACTAGTTTCTGAAACTAATTTGTGATCTCCTTTGTAAATCCTTTTTATCTTTAATCCATTTTCACCCAACAGAACGCCCTTTTCCATGCTACAGATGACTGCTGGCACCTGGTGCCAGGAGGTGGGCCTGCCGACTGTCTGGGTGTGGCCCCTGGTGGAGGTGGGAGGCCTCAGGTGCTGGCCAGCTCAGCCTCCTTGGGCGGGAGTCCTCCAGCAGAGTGCTGGAGTTGGCCCAGCCTTCGCTGGGCTGCTTTCCTGATGGGACGCTGCTCCTTCTCTGTGCTTCAGTGTCGGCGTTGAGCTGATCCTGCTGGGTGTGAGCCAGGACCTTCTCGTGGTCGGTTAAGCCCGGGGCCCTAGGTCTGCAGCCTGAAGTGATTCGGACCCAGGCTTTGTCCTTGTTGTCAGCTGTGTTTTGCTGGGCTCTGAGCTGTAATGTTCCCGGTACCACATCAGGATTGAGGTAAAGATGCTCGTGAGCTTTTCTCGTTGCAGAGTGGTGGTGTCTTCTTCATTTCATTCCGGTGCCCACTGCCAGGTGTTGCTCTTTGGCCAGGGAGCTGGCGAGGGTCTTCCATATGATGACGTTGCCATCGTCACTTCAAGGAGCATTTGCCAACCACTCATTCTGCAGTAGCACTTGCTTGGGCCTGGACTGCGTGCAGGGAACACCTCAGGTCCCTCTCCCGCGCTACCAGGGCTGCAGTTTTCTTCCCTGGATATTTTTGCTTTGAGATGTAAGTGCTTTTGATTTTAAAGTGAGTCCACTGGTACCCTTCTTAAGAGATTCCAGCTAGACCAGTGTAGTGGACTGACAACTGGTGGTCAGCGTATAACCCCCAGCTGAACTGAGTAAGTGTGGTGCTGGGTGTGGGAGGCCCACCTGGGGACTGTTGCCAGCAGCATGAGAGGCAGACCTGGAGAAGAAGAAGAAAGGCTGTTGGGAATTGAGAGAGGCTGTCGGGAGCTGGTAGAAGCTGTAAGGAGCTGTTGGTTGTTTTGGAGGAGCTCATCATGCTGGCTTTCCTCATGAACGTGGCTGTTTTCATCCTCTGAGGAGCTCGGGACCTCGTTGGCAGAGAATGGCTTTGGTTCACTTTGGGGGAGCTCTGGTCCTCACTTTGAGCATCGCTTCCTGGCTCCGGAGGAGAAGATGGTGCATTGCTGGTCTCCTGAGAAGCTTGCTGCGTTGGCTTTCCTAATGGGAACTCGGCCATCTCGATCATCGGGGAGCTCGGGACCTCACTGGTTGCTGAGGATGGCTGTGGTACCTTTCAGGGGAGCTCTGGTTCTTCTGAGCGTCACTTCCTGGCTGCAGTGCAGAGCCCTCAGCCTGCTAGCACAGATGCTTCATCCCACTGGCACAGACTTTCTAGATTCCACCACTGACCTTCGGGCCTTCCCAGCACAGATCCGTGAAGCAGGCCTGCATGAGATGTTGTCGTGGGCTCTGGGCCTCCAGTTGAATTCGAGGGAGGCATTGTTGTGAGCATTAGGTATTCAGCTGGACTCATGTGGGATATTATTGCAGGATCCAGGCCCTCAGCTGGATTCCTGGTCTGTAGTGTGTGGACAGATTCCCTGCACTCCTTCGTGTATCATTCTTCGGGTGACTGTTATAAATAATCTTATAAAATATGGGTCCTGTATTACATTGTTCTGCCTTGCAAAATACCCGTAAACCATAACAGCCAGTGTTGCAAACGTGTCTTTGATTTGTAGATATCTGGAGCCTGGGTGTGATCCTGTTCATGCTGGTGTGTGGACAGCCCCCCTTCCAAGAGGCCAACGACAGTGAGACCCTGACCATGATCATGGACTGCAAGTACACTGTGCCGACCCACGTGTCTAAGGAATGCAAAGAGTAAGTAAAGCGCGTGGCCCGACGGCTGAGGGCACGTCGGCTCCCAAGCATCTGGGCTCATTTTGACTTCCAAGTTTATTTCTGTTGTTTCTAGAAAGGTTTTGGGGGCAGCGCCAGAATTTCGTGTCAGTTTAAGCTCAGCCACCTGTAACACCCAGGAAATACCCGGGGCGTGGCACGGCCCAGATGGAGCTGACTTGGGCCAGGACTGAGGGCCGGCGCCACTCGCCCTGCAGGCTGTCTTCCGTCTGCGCCCGCTGGAGCGGGTCGGGCGCCAGGCGGGCATCGTCCTCCCCTGTGGAGGGTCCTGCTGTCACTGCATTGTTAGGTGCCGAGTTTTCCCTATTGGTGTTGTTGAGTCCACACAGTGCCTTTCTATAAACTCCGTTTCCAGACGTACATGGCACGGCACTGCCGAGGTTCACAGGCTGGCCGTGGCGTCCGGTTCTGGCCTGCACCGCGCCAGCAGCGCAGCGAGCAGATGTGGAGAGCTGGCGTTGGTTGCACGGGACAGGGAGCTGTCCGTATGTGGTTTGGCGGCACAGCTGTAGTTGTAGTTTCTCAGTTTGCACACGTGACGGCGCTCAGCTCTCATCACGCCTGTCTGTGCCCCTCCCACCGTTAGTGAGCCTCCTTGGGTGCACGGTGTGGGAGGGGTTTATTGGCAGCAGTCTGTCTTTGCTCGTCCTGTGAGCAGTTTGCAGTAACGGTGGCCCTTTCCTTCCTCTGCAGCCTGATCACCCGGATGTTGCAGAGAGATCCCAAGAGAAGAGCCTCTTTAGAAGAGATCGAGAACCACGCTTGGCTGCAGGGAGTGGACCCTTCCCCGGCCACGAAGTACAACATCCCGCTGGTGTCCTACAAGAACCTCTCGGAGGAGGAGCACAACAGCATCATCCAGCGCATGGTGCTCGGGGACATCGCGGACCGCGACGCCATCGTAGAGTACGTCCGTTCTTCCGTGGGGCCCAGGGCTGGGGTTACGGAGGGGCTGTGTCTTCGGGGCTCCGGAGCCCTGAGGTGGGCAGGAGTTCCGTCGTTTAGCTCCAGGGCTCCTGGCCGGTGCCTTGAGTTTTGTTCTTTTTCTAGTGAAGAGGGAAGTCACTGCCGGGTGGTGTCAGTGAGCGCGTGGCCTTCGTCCTTCCTGTGGGGTTGATGGCAGCAGCTGGGCTGCGTCTCAGAGGACACCTTGTCTGTAGCAAGGGCCCCTCCCTCCCGGGTCTCCTTAGAGAGGGTGCATAAGTAAAGTTTTATTGGCTGACACAGTGCCTGCCTGCTCAGGTGTGGGCCCAGCTTCGGAATCGGTCCTCTGTCCCGGGAGCCCCGTGCGGCCCCTGGACCTGCGGGCCTGGGTGGTGTTGCTTACTCTCCACAACCACAGGCAGGGCTTTTGACTTCTGGGTTTTGATGCTGAGGACAGAAGCCAGGGCCTCACGCATGTGAGGCAAGCACTCCGCCGCTCAGCCCTGCCCAAAGCCAGCTTTTAATAACCTGAGAAACTGGACATCAAAGCACATGCCGGCTGCAGATGCAGTTGCTTCTAAAGACACTTCTAAGAGGTCCTGGCTAGAAGTGCAGAGTTCGCATAAACAAAAGCAGAAGTTCTCTATTGCATTGCAAGAAGCAGCTGGGTATCCTGAAGGCAGAAGCATGCCACGTGGGTCCTTCTCGGGTCCACGGCGGCCGACGGCGGGGTCCGACCTTATCCCTGGACCCGGGGTGGAGGGCTCCTGGGGCCCTGTGTCACTGGGCAGGATGTAGACCTCCCGGGGAGAGAAAGGCTTAGAAAAGTAAACAGGTTCTTTGTTTTGGTTTTAGTACAGATTTGTCTGGGTTTTCAAGTCCGTGACACATAACTGCTTGCGTGAGTGCATGGAGCGGAGAGCGGGACAGGCGCGCAGCTGCCCTGCACCCGCGCGGGCGTGCGGAGAGGGGCTTCGGTCCTGCGTGCGAGGGGAGGGCTGTGTGCATCCCGGGAGTGGCCGTGTCCTCCTCGAGCACACACCTGCCCTGCTGCACAGAGAGTGCCTGATGAGTGCGAATTCACAGAGCGAGCGTCTCCGGCTGTGGGGCGGCGGCCTGCGTGGTGCCTGCTGCCGCTGCTCCTGCGTTTCCGGCGTCTGCAGCGTGCTCGCAGACAGGGCAGCCCCACGAGAACCCGCCTGCCTGAGTCTCTCCCTCACTCCCCTGGAGCCCGCGTCCACCCGCCTCCCCAGCCAGGCAGTCACGCACTGTCAGCGCCACCCCACCCCCGTCACGCCTGACCTGAGCGTGCGTCCTTCCGTAGCTCTGGGCCTCGGGGTTCCGCGGCACTGACCCCTCTGTCCCACAGCAGCCCCGGTGGGTGTCCTGTCCCGGCACCGGGGAGACAGGTCCTTGCGAACACTGCTTTCTAAACAGATGAATAAAAACAGTGAGTCACACCACAAAGCGGTGAAGAGTGCCTTGCGCGCAGCCCGTCCGTAATCCTGTGGTGCCACGGCTCGGCGTGGTGGAGGGGTCGAGAGCAGGCGCGTGTCCTGATGTCCTGACGGACTCCCGGGCCCAGGGCGCACCCAGGGAGCCCGGGCCCAATCTGCACTTTCTCGTATGGGAAGCAGAGAAGCCGCGTTAGCAGTGCACCTTTCACATGCACGTTCTCTCTTCAGGCACCATGTACCCTCGTGGAAGGCTCAGTGCCGGTTTTGCACGTCTAAAACGGCCATGAAGCTCAAATGCCGTTAGCGTGTTGCATTTTTTTCACTGACGGACCCTCGCGCGGCTGCCTCCTAGGACTTGGGTGGCAGCCTGAGCAGCTGGGGCCCCGCCCCCATTTGCTTTTCGGCCTGATTTTCAAGCTCCCTGCTCACTGAATTGCCTGTCGTTTTTCTCTGTAAAGATCCTTCTTGTGCAAAGCCGCTCTGTGGCTTACGCTTGCTCCTTTTTCCTCAGAGCCCTGGAAACCAACAGGTACAACCACATCACGGCCACCTACTTCCTGCTCGCCGAAAGGATCCTGAGAGAAAAGCAGGAGAAGGAGATACAGACGCGGTCTGCCAGCCCCAGCAACATCAAGGCCCAGTTTAGGTGAGAAAAATGTCTTCACTGATTTTAGTAAGTTGACGTTTTGAAATAGCGCGCTTTCTCTTCTGGCACGGGGTGAGGGCCGCTCTGGGTCCCGTCCCCGCGGTGTCCTGGGGCTGTGGGCCAGGCCGGGGCCCAGGTGGAGAAGCAGCGTCCAGCCAGGCTCTGCCGTCCCCGGCCTGACAGGTGGCCGTGTGTTCTCTTCATGAGGATTGCCTCCAGGAGCAGTGTGGACCTTCCTCCCGGAGATGCCTGTGCCCTGGCATCACCCCGACTTGGGGAGCAGGCGGGGGCCCCGCTGCTCGCTGGCTGGCTGGCCCGGGGGCTGCTCAGCCTCTCGCTGCTTCGGCTGCCGATGAGGGGAGGGAGGGTGTGCCGGGCGCAGGGGCTCGGTGAGGGGCGCAGGCGCCTGTGTGAGTCGCCGGTGGGCAAGCTGTTAGCCGCCAGCGTTCAGCGGCCCCTCGCCCTGCTTCCGCGGACCCATCCTCCCGCCCAGGCGCCCTGTGCTGGCGGCGGTCCTGCTCCCCAGCCCCGCTTCAGCAGTCCCCTGCTTCAGCCTTGTGGCCCTGGCCTGATACATAGTGGCCCTGTGTCCTGGCATGTGGGATTCAGAGAATGGACCCCGAACGCGCCGTCCCTGGGGCTCCCGGTCCGTCCGCCTCACCGCGGCTCCTTGGCCTCCTCTCTCCTCACCTGCGGGCTGTGGCCGTCACATAGTTCCTGTCGGCGCCGGTTGACCCTTGGGCCCCTGCCACTCCCGGCCCTTGCTGAGGCACGCCTGGCTGGGCAGGTCCACGTGGCCGTGTCTGTGGGGCTGCCCGGGGGCACAGGCCTTGGGGCTCGGGTCACGGGTGGAAAAGACCGGGGAGAAGAGCCTCTGTCCGTACAGTCTCCCCTTGGCGCCCCTTAGGGTGCCAGTCTGAGCAACGGCTCAGCGGGGCTGGCGGGCGCAGCTCTCGTGTGCAGCTCTGGTTGTGCGAGGGAGGACGGGGCCTTTTCAGAGATGGTGTCTGCAACCTGCGACACCCTTGCCCGCGGCACACACCGCGTCCTGGAGCGCTGGAGTGCTGCGGCTGCGTGGGGAGCCGTGCTGTCGCCAAATCCCTCAGCTTCTTAACTATAGATTTAACTGGATTTTATTCTCAGGCTCACAAAGCTGGTGTGAAATGAAAAGGAAGATGTCCCTGGGTGAAAGCGGCTGTTGGGAACGTCTCTGGCGTCCTCCGGCGCCTCCTGTTCTCCTGGGCAGGGAGGACAGCTGAGGCCTCAGCGGCGCCGTCCATGGTGGAGGGCATAGCGCTGCGTTAGAAGTCCTCTGTGGCCACCAGGCCGCATTCGTGTCCTGTGGGTGGCTCTAGACTGGACAGCGAAGCCAAGTTTTAAATACGAGCCAGTTCTGCTAGCCAGTGCTCCTGGGTGGGTATTGGAAAGTACACTCATTTATGTTCAGTGCAGTTTTCTGATTGAAGAAGAGATTCGTACAGGACAGTTACACAGCTCTTCTCTGCAGCACGCTCTACTTAAGTCCACTGAACTGTCCCCACTTACTCTTGTAAACGCGAAGCTTTTACACCGTCTCCTAAAAGCAGCACTGGAAATTCCAGTGAATTTCGTTAGCCATAGAACACCTTACAGAGTTGTGCTGTGATCAGAACAAAATAAGAGCTGTGATCAAAATACACGGCGCGTTTTTAAAAATATTTTTATATTTTTTCCCTCGTGCGTTACAATGAGACACCTTGCCGCTGAGCTCCTTCGGGACCCACCTGGCTCCCGGCGCACTCATCCCTTTGTGCTTGCCGCTTTCTGCGGCAGTTTTGGCGTACTGTTTCTTGACTGTCTTTACTGGGTGTGATGAAGGATGTGGTGCTGCCGCTGAGCACCACCCAATAGAAAGGCAGCAAAAGCAGGGCGCTGTGTCCTCGTCCACCCTACCCACCCGGTCCGGCACCGTGGGACTCTTGGCTCTTCCCAAAGGCAGTGACCGTGCAAGGTCAGAGTCTTGAGTCCATTCGGGACGTTGAGGCAGCCAGGACAGCGCAGCTAAAGACCCTCAGGAAAGAGGGCTCCAGAGCTGCCGCAGGCATTGGCTGGGATGGTGGGATGAGTGTGGGAAGTGAGGGGAGCGTTCTGAAGGGAAAGCACGGCAGTGAGACTTTCACTGTAACTTCAAAAACTTAAACACCGTCTTCTCAACCTCGGGGGCACCGCTTGGCTTCAGGAAGGGAGCGCTTGCTTCGTGCGAGGCCCGCTCCCTGCTGCGCCCTCTCCTGGCGGCCGCAATGAGTTGCCCTCAGCCTCCCGCTGACCCGCCTGTGCCCTCTGGTGCCCCAGCTGAGGGTGCGGGCGAGGGCCGGGGTGCCCGGCTGCTGCTGTGTCTCCTTGCCCGTCTGCAGGTTTATGGCGGGAAGTTTCTTACGTCTTTCACTGCATCTGCACGTGACTACATGGCCGTTTCTCTTTCTGATTTATTCTACAGGCAGTCATGGCCAACTAAAATCGATGTGCCCCAGGACCTCGAGGATGACCTCACGGCCACGCCTTTGTCCCACGCAACCGTCCCTCAGTCTCCCGCTCGGGCCGCCGACAGCGTCCTCAACGGCCACAGGAGCAAAGGCCTGTGTGACTCGGCCAAGAAGGACGACCTCCCCGAGCTGGCGGGGCCCGCGCTGTCCACCGTGGCCCCCGCGAGCTTGAAGCCCACGGCCAGCGGGCGCAAGTGTCTGTTCAGGGTGGAGGAAGATGAAGAGGAGGATGAGGAGGACAAGAAGCCCATGTCCCTGTCCACGCAAGTGGTTCTGCGGCGGAAGCCGTCCGTGACCAACCGTCTGACGTCCAGGAAGAGCGCGCCCGTCCTCAACCAGATCTTCGAGGAAGGGGAGTCCGACGACGAGTTCGACATGGATGAGAACCTGCCCCCCAAGCTGAGCAGGCTGAAGATGAACATCGCCTCCCCGGGCACCGTGCACAAGCGCTATCACCGGAGGAAAAGCCAGGGCCGCGGCTCCAGCTGCAGCAGCTCCGAGACCAGCGACGACGACTCCGAGAGCCGGCGGCGGCTCGACAAGGACAGCGGGTTCCCCTACTCCTGGCACCGACGGGACAGCAGCGAGGGGCCCCCGGGCAGCGAGGGGGACGGCGGGGGCCAGAGCAAGCCCAGCCACGGCAGCAGCGGCGCGGACCAAGC